GGCTGGTCGCCTCGCATACAGACCACCTTCGTGAAGCCTTCTACGCACAGTTGGCGTTGACACGAACCTTCCAGTGGCTGCAGCAAGGGAGAATCTAAGAAGAGTAGGAGTAGCGGTTCTATTTTTGCGTGCACATAATGTCAAATATCGGTCATCGGCGCTCGTCGTAGCAGTTGGCCATCCTTCGCTGAACCTCCTAGATGCCGAATCTGTGGTTTGAAATTGCCTCCAAAGTCTATGAACCACAGAAGGACTCACATTTAGCCATCTGGCCACTTCTGTTTGACTTTGTCCTGCCTGTAGTCTCCCAATGGCTCTCCATCGCAGTTCTGCATTCAAATGATGCCTGGACATTGTTACGAATTGGCTATCTCAGATTTCTGATGTCACTGTCACAGTTAAATATATGGGCTTGCTCTCAAACATGGACTTTTATGCTCCTCGCAGATGACATATTCCGAGTGCAGCGCCACTAATTTGCATATTGCAGTTTTACTCAGCTACTCTTACTTGGCAATATATTCAAATTTTACACGGTTTGGCTTATTTTTGAGGAAGTTATCACTATTTTTGTGATTTTTCCTTAATTTATGATAACCAGTGTAGGTTGGACATATTTGAAAGAACATAAGTGACATTTTACGTTTTACTAATGGTTAGCTTTATGTTGATTTTTTTTATCACTTATTTTGTCACATACTTGATCAGTCTAGACCAGAGGTTCTCAACCGGTGGTACACAAGAAAAAAATAGGTTGTGTACAAAGAAGCAAAGTATTTTTAACTCTTTATTTCAAAAATTAAAATCCCAACATCCTGATTGAGTTTTTTCTCTCAGACTCGTAAATTTATGTGATATGCGCTTTGTTCAAGATTGGTGGTGGTACTAAAGGTTTTTAATGTTTGCTTAGATGGTATGCGTTAGTTAAAAAGTTGAGACCTGCTGGTCTAGAGGTTTAATAAATAGCAGGTAGATTTTATGTCAAATGGCATAGGTTAAAATGAGAAGTAAGATAATAATCAGCATGATTCATAACCAAAAGACTGAATATTATCACTGCTGCTGCTTGTCCAGAGAAAGACCTGCTGATTAGAACAAACTTGAAAGGCCTGATGAAGGCAAGGTTAGCAAGTGTTGAAAGTTAATCAGGCTCTGTTTGATGCTGTTTAGTGTCATAGCTTTGTGCAGAATTCCAGGGGTTGTAACTCAGTTAATATACTTTCAGGTTCCAATAAGCCATTCAAGCACCAGAGGTGATAAGTTGTTTTTTAAGTCTCACTAGATGCAAAGAATAAGTTTTACTTGAATTTTTACGTTTTTGTGTTTTATCTTGTGACCACAGTGAGTATTAATGAAAGGCAATAACTCGCTTTAATACGTAGAGATAATTTTTTAAGGGTAAGCAGTTAATTATAAATAATTAAATTAGGTAATTAGATAACCTTAGTCATTATGGATTTACATGGCTACAATTAAATTTTATTTTTTAACAATATTTGTTAAAAAAGCCCTATTAAAATCAAAATCTAATCAAATTTCACAGTTTAAAATACATGTAATTTATGACACTGATTCTTAAACAATATTAGAATAATTACACATTAAAAGCTACAAAATATGTATGTTTGTAACAACAACACTCAACAAAGTAGTTATCCATCATTTTAATTTGACGCCTTCTCAAACATTTTGGCCAGTTTATATTGATTTCCTTCTCTTTAAGCATCTTTTCTAACAATAATTAGAGATTTGCCTCAATATACAAACCAATGCTCTCACTAGTTTCTGCATGCTTTATCTCCTAACTTGTCAACCACTCCACAATGTACCTATGAGGGTTTACTTGATCTGGTAAAAGTTAAATAGTCCAAAACCTCCAATAGATGTGAAGCAAATTATCACTATGTCTGAAAGTAACTACAATATCAGGCAAAGGTTTAAATAAGCCTCTTATTTAAAAAGCGCTTAGAGCAAACATAAAGGCATGTTCTGATGCTAACAAAGTCAATCACGGTGACATAATTAAGCAAGAACAGTCAAATTCAACTAAAAATGTGGACTAGTGGTTGAAGATTATACAATTTAATTTAATCTGGCTCAGTAACCATATCATATGAGGAAACAGAAATTGAAAATTATAGTAAAGGCTGAAATCATAAACAATTGGGTAATTTACATAATAATAACTGCCCATATCTTTGAAGAATAATTTTATGTATTCAGTTTCTTTCTTCAGCATGTTTCCTTTTCATTTTAGAATTTTTGGATTTAATTAAAGATTTCTGTTTTTCTAAAAAACACTAAATGCATTTAGAAAGTATAGAAAAAGTGACTAATTTAATTTAGTAATATGAAATTCAGAAGAAATATGAAATATATATGGTAAAGGCCGGTTACAGAGTTGGTGTGGTAGAATTTTTAGAATTTAGTGACACACCAAACAACAATATCTAGAAATGACAATGATTTATAATGACAAATATATATAATATATATAATTATAATGACAAATGATTTATAATTTAGAGCAGGCATAGGAAGCAGAATTTAGAAAGGTACTATGCAGTTGAATTTAAGATCCACAGAGATTGCATCAGATGGGAAAATGCCTAGTGCCAGCTCTGTGTATGATGCATTAAGACACATTAGATGGACCTTTTAAATTGTAAGTTTTTAATTTCTTTATTAATAAAAAAATCCTGTTCTATAATCTTTCCTTTCTTCTCAAGTGATAAGATTAGAAGCATTTTTGATATTTTCCATGCTTGTGTCTAGTGAAAAGTAGAGAAAATAAAGGGAAGATAAACATGTTAAGAAAAAGATTCTAGTATCAGGAGTAAAACATTCAAATATTATGCCTTCATTGTTCTTCCAGACGTTCTCCAAAAAGTAAGAAATTCATCGCAAACTTTCTGATAAATACATCCATTACCTGTTGATACCATGGAGACATTTTTCATTTTGTCACATATTTCTCGAATCTTCTAGAATCGTGGGTCTATAAATCTTGCCTTCAAATCCTTCTAAATTTTCCAAGCTGCAATGTCAAAAATACTAAAGAAAAATTATCCCAATCAATTCTGTAACAGCAAAAAGCCAGAAATATTTTGGGAAAAAAAAAGGGGGGGGAGAAAAAAGTGTAAAATTAATTTTATAGAGAAAACTGATGCATATTCTGAGAATTTGAATACTCTGAGACAATTACATGGAAAAAACGCTTACTATGAAAAATTAAAAAGAAGACTTTTTAATTAATTACATAGCTAATTTTGCTTTTGCTAAGAGCTGTTTTGTAAAATGTTGTTTAAATTATACCTTGTTTATTTTTCAGATTTAAAATATTGTGTAGTAAGTTGCCAAAATGAAACTTTATAATATAACAGCGAAAAATAAAAATGGTTTTTGTATAATGTTATTTTTTTAAATATAATTTGAATATATTACCATTATTTTAATGAAATTTATCAATCTTACGATGTTTTAAAAAGAAAATCGTCGAAAAATTCGGAATTAAAATTTTTCTATAGAAACTGATGTTAAAATCGCCAAAATGTTGACAAGTCGCCAAATTTAGAACCCATTTAATAAAAAGAATTCACATCCCCAAAAGCGAAAATTGTTTAAGAGCTTTTTATTACGAAAAATGAATTTCAAAATGCTGATGTTTCACTTCTTGCTTAGAAACTCGAGTAAATATTAGAAATAGAAACAAATTACAACCTATGAACCCATTTAAAAGATAACCATATACGTCAGTGAATCGCGAAACATATTCCTCCAAAATGCTAATTCACACTCAAAATGGCAGTCGTAAAAACAGACAGAAATTTCAGATGATTAAAATTAAGGACCTTCTACTGATTTTGGCCAAAATTAAGGACTTTTTAAGGATCAAAAATCGATTCCAAAAAATTTAAGGACTTTTAAGGACTCTTAAGGACCATATGAACCCTGTCTTTCTATAAAAGCATTAAAATTTTATGGCCCATATTTCAGAAACCACTACTCTATGAGACTATTAAAAAATTGTTACTTCTTATACCTGACATAATGCTTTGCAAATTCTGCCATCACTCTAAATGGCTTTCAGATAATTATACCACAAGAAATGAAATAGAGAAGTTAATAATTATATCTATACATAGCACCAAATGGAATACATGAAAATGAAAATCGTTCACTTTTACTAACCTTAAAGCTCACCATAAAGCAATATATATATATATATATATATATATATAAATCTATGTATTCATGATTTTTATTCTATTTTTATGTTCATGAAGAAGTTTATAAAATGTGTATTATAAGTAATTAAACATGATTTAAGATTTTAAGACTTCAGTTCTGTAATTCAGATTAATTCTGCAAATAACTTACTTGAGCCATCCGTTTTTCTGTTGTATTTTTGCTTGTATCATGAATAAACATTATTGCAGGAAAAATGAGACATATCAAAGTTCCTATTGTTGAGCCTATAATACCAAGAACAAATTCGATATTTGGAAGCATTATAGCAATACCAATGGTTACAATAACTAGGCTGATGGTAAGAATTCTAAATCGATGATCAGGTATTACAGTTACATTAATATCATGATGACCAAAGCCCTGAAAAATGAAATAAAATTTTAATTATTATTTTATGCAAAGTAGTGTCTCAACATTAACACAAAGTACTTTCTACAGTTTATTAATGAAGCTTACACTATCATCAATATCTTCAATTATATAATTATGCAATTAAAGAAAAATTTAAAGTTTCCATCTCTTAAGAACATCTTAAATTAGAAATTACATAGTAATATGGTATGAAATCTGAAACAAGCAATTTCTGTTTTATTCAAAACTTAAAAAAAATTTAACCCCATATCATATATGGTAAAAAAGTGATAACGCTGGGGGGGGGAAACTATGAAAGCTACACACACATAGCTTTATAAAATAACAATTACTTCAGGATTGTTACCAAAATTTTTTATCCGTAAATTAATTTTAAAACAATATTGCTTCCAATAAATTTGAATAAGTGTAAGTGGTCTTACCTACGTAGAAGATAATTTAGTTTATTTGTTTGTTTAATGTGTTATGACAAGTCAAGCAAAGGCTTTTTGTCTAAAGAAAGTCATGCTTCTCTTGAGGACTTTTTAAGAGAAACTGTCCCACAACCATACATGAGATAAATCATAAAAATTCTCATGCAAACAAGCCATTTATAGGGATTTGAACACTGTCAGAGAGAGAATTTTAACTGCTTCTCTTTTGAAACAAAGTATAATAGTACTTAAGTAATTAAAATTATTTTTAAGCTAACAGAACAAAACATAAATATGCCAAAAGCTCCACCCAGTTTAATGAAAAAAACTTTATTATGCAATAGATTATTATTTATTTGTTTAATATGTGATCTTCCATCTTCTAAAAATCTCCAGACTATGTACAAGGTACTAAAACATTAAAAATTTACCCACTTCCCCCCCCCCATGATTTCATAAACATTTTCTCTTCCTTAAAATTTTGAAGTGCGATTTTCATTATTTTATTTTGTATGTCTCATTTAAAAGAGATATGAAATATTAGCTTTTAGTTTATTGTTTCAAGTAACTTCCTGCAGTTTTGTACTGTTTACTAACTTGGTAGTTTAGCATACAAATAATTTATGGTGTCATCTATTGTATATAGAATAAGCATGATACAAATTGAACATGGAAACTCGGCACAAAAACCCTGAAACCAATAACAGAACAAAAAATATCAATGCTTGACTTTGATTTCCAATAACATCTAATTACCACAATCCTATTTTCTTTTTTCTTTCAGCCTTACTGTAATACATATGCAGATCCAATGATTTGAAGGGACAGAAAGGATATTTAATGTAAAACTCTACATTGAACAACGAAGAATAAGAACAGAAACCACAGTCAGATAAGTTACATTTGATGAAATACTTAACTTAAAATTTCAAGAAAATTCTTTCCATTTCATGAACTGCTTGTTCATTTATGCTTATAATTCCAGAAATAAAGTCACCTAAAACTCAGTCATTATACAGCACTCTCTACAATGGTATAACAAACAGCAAAAGAAAAAAGCAGTGTGCTTCTTATGGCACCATTTCTTTAAATACAATATACTCGAAGTCATTTAAAAGGCTATTGTTTAGGACAAGTAATATAAATTATTAAACTAATATTATTATTTTGATAATTATTATAAATTTCAGTCAATAATAACTTCGATTTTCAGAACGGAAGCTTTTAGAAACCAATAGGGATAAAGAGGATTTATTCTAAACACAGCTTTTATCTTGAACAGGTTGCACTCACTCCCTGCTTTACCATTTTGTTATTGAAGTTGTTCTTGCTCAATTAAAAAAATGTGAAAATTCATCAAAGAATGGGCACAGTTACTGCCCATTCTTTGTTTCATCTATGTTTGTATCAAAAAAATGTGATGTCAAAAATAAAAGAACTGTTGAACTAGCCATGAGTATGGTATTTCTACAGTGGCCATGGTATATCCATCTGCAACATCTAAATCATTTCATATACAGTACAAAGTCTAACAACTGGATGTCCAATATTTTCTGAGCCACCAGCAAAATAAATAAAAAAAAAAATAAAAATAAAAAAAAAAAATTTTCCCTTCCCTCAAAAAGTTTAGGAATGCAGAATAAAATACTCAACAAAAGGAATCAGGTGTGCTGTAAATGTGATTCCCCACAAAAACCTACCTGAGATTTCTGCATGCCACTTTTAAACACCTGCTGGCCAACGAACTGCAACTTTACCAATGATGATACACTGACTGATGATCTAGTAGTTGGTCACAGACAAATTTGGCCCTTGAGTGGTTGGTACGAGGGGTTAACGTTTTACTGACTTAAATAGTAAATGATGCCCTAATATTGCCATGTTTACATGTCGTCCTACTAAATTCAAGCTGATGATCTATGATCAGGAAATTTATGAAATCCAAAATTGTCAATGCTTTGATGATTCCAGATCTTTGTACTGTACATAACATTTGCATTTTTATGGAAAACTAACACTTTAATCAGCTTTTTTACCAATTATTAATAACAGTGAAGATTTTGCTTTCTTCAAGAGAAAAGTATAATAAATTTGTTCATGACATTTGTCTCAAAAATTTATTTTTGCTAATGAAAATTTTCCCAGTATTTGATCACTAACAGTAGATTTAAATTTAGTTACTATTTTAGTAGCAACATTGAAAATTCTCTTGCACTCTGGATTACTATGAAGAATTGTCAAAATGGTCAAATATATTTAAAACATAATTTTACATTAGTTTATTACTGTACTTCAAAATTCCATCAGCATCTTTCTTTTTTCTAATTAAATTTTACTGGGTGTCAACCTTTATAAAATTTCACAATGCATTTCTTGCATCATTCAGCAACAAAAACGGGTAAAGAACAACTTCAATTTTGGTTTGTGCTTATCGGCTGATGCCCACAAGATGACCTGCAGGTCAGTTTGATGTCAATGCAAAATTGAAACATAACATTTTCAGACACATCTATTATCACATACATAATTGTAACCCATCACTGATGAAATATTATTTTTTTTTATAGGTAATACAGGGAGGAATGATTTAAGATGCCAGAAAGCACATTTCTGGGTGCAAATAATAAAAAAAAAAAAATATGTAAAATAAAGTAAATATCAGCACAAATTTTAGGAATAAGAAATAGTCAAGAGAAAATTTTAAATCATGTTGGCAGGAGTTACAGTTTGAAAAACTGGGAGTCTTCCCCTGAATTAGGAAAGTCAGCACATCGTTTTATATACACAGAACCCTATAAATTAAATTTTTTTATTACCTTTTCTACTTTATTTAAAAAAATGTAGAGGTATATGCATACCTAGGTTCTACATTTAAAGAAATAAAGCTAAGAATCACCTTTTAAAATACGTGATTTTGTTCTTCCAATAATGAAAATCCAAATCTTAGTTATAAATAATTCTTTTATAAAAAGCTTTCAAACAGCATAGTTTAATCAGCATGAAGAGACAACCATATTAAAATTTTAAAAGTTAGTCAATAATGATAATATGCTTAATCTCTATCAGAATTTCACAAAGAAATGATATCTCAAAAATGCATTTTTTTACAAAGCTTCTTAAAACCGGTAATATCTGAAGTTAAATAGCAACACAGTTACATGTTAGAGTAATATATATACTAGTCAACTGAAATTTCTGTTTTTAACTGCTTACAAAACATTCAAAGCCTATTATTAAACGTGCCTACTTAAAATAGTTGTTACAGAATATTGAAAATATCAGCATGCAACTGAATGTGCAAGATTCAGCACACTCACAGATTACAGATTACAATAGAGGCTATGATGTCTGATGATGAGTACAGCTAATTGACTTGCAGTTATGATTTGGTCCAATCACATTAGGAAGTTGTTTCTATAGCTGATTTTTTCCCTGTTTTTAATAATGATAGGTTTGTAAATCATGCATTTTATCCACAAATAAAAATATTTATACAAAGGAAGTTTTAACAGAACAGGCCTAGGCAACCTATGACCCGCAGGCCTTTGAGTGACCCACTTTAATTCCAAAAATAAAATATAATCTATAAAAATAAATTACAAAACATAAATATCAAATGACCAGTTGAAGACTACATATAAGCATAAATCAAAAATAAAAAAATAACAATATCTTTGTTTGATCACAAAAATGCAGTAATGAACATGCATTTTCAATTTTAAAAAATAACATAATTTCAAAGAGAAATTGATAAGTTTGGCAATGCTGATCCATAATTTCCCCCTTCCAAAAGCGGGCTTTGCCACTTTTTTTAGTATTCAGTTCAACATATAAATGTCAGCAAATATTTTCATACATGAAATTTATTTTAAATAAGAACAGAAGTAGCTTAATTATAAAAAATTAAGACACTTGAATTTGTCTTGAGGGAGCCATTGATATCAAAGAAATAAAGTTCATTCAGTTATGTTTGTTTTTATAATAATTGAATTATAATTTTAATTTTTATGCTTAAAGCATATTGTAATTATATTCTCAATAGAATTTATCTTATTATTCACCAGGAGAGATTGTTCTAAAATCAAAATACAACAGACCCAAAACGTCTTCTTAACCACTTAACTGTTTCATTTCCCTGTAATACTGTAACCAAAAATAAGCATATTTTTTATAAATAATACTGTATTCTAATCGATTATATAAATTCAAATCAGTAGTCAAAATTGTTAAAAGTATCGCATTTATTAATTTAAGAAAATTCTTAATTAAAGCAAAATAAAGGCATTTTTATTTAAAGTTGGTTTTTTCCTGACAAAACTGCGGAAGCAGAACATGCTAAAGGAGATCAGTGTGAAAGAAGTGAATTCGCTGTGAAAGGAAATCGAGGCGGAGGTGGAGTACTAATATTCATTTCACAAAAGTTCCTAACCTGAATTAGATCATCTGAACTTTCCTCATCATCACTAGAAAATCCCTATAAAGAACTCTCAGGACTACCAAAATCATTTATATAAAATTCAGATTCGATATCTGATCCAATATAAGAATTATATTTTGTTATGAGCCATTTAATGTCACCCATCATTCTTGTATTTCATGACAAAATCGGGAAGAAATACTATCTGCAAAGCCTAATACACTGAAGACGTGCAACAAATTCGTTGAAATTTTTCGCCTAATGAAAAGGGGTAAAACCTATCCTTGAAGTGATTTTACAATCCAATCTCTCTCGGACTACTAGAGACATTTATTAGAAATACTGCAAAGTAAAAAATGTGCAAAAGGCCAGAAAAATCAGTGTATTGGTGTAGGAAAATATACTGACTGAGTGGCGTAAGGGTAAATAAAAAAAGTCCATTTTCATGGCACCCAAACAGAGTGGACTAATAGAATCGGACTACTAGAGACATTTATTAGAAACACTACAGAGTAAAAATGTGAAAAAGGCTAGAAAAATCAGTGTATTGGTGAAGGAAAATATGCTGCCTGAGTTGTGTAAGGGTAAATAAAAAAAGTCCTTTTTTATGGCACCCAAACAGCATTTGGGCAAAACAGTTAAGAAGCTAATGCACTCATTTTGATTGATTTTGACATGCAGCCGAAAAAGGTGGGCGAGGCCTGCCTTATAAAATACAAAGTAAACAGATAAAAAAGATATCAATTTAAATATATATATATATTGTTCTACTGATGTAATGTAAAATAAAAAACGCATAATGCAGAATTTCATCATTTAGAAAAAAGGTGGCTCAAATAACATGTTTTACATTATTTTTATCTTATTTCAAGCTGAAATACACCTTGAATTTATAGTTTCAGCTGCAAGAACTAAAAGATAATACTAAAAAAATCAGCGGTGCGTGATAACAAAAACAAAATACAAAATTTATTTTAAATGATAAATATATATAAATATGAATATTTATTATGTAACTTCACTTGCCTTTGTGAATCATACATAATTCCTGACTTCCCTATAATTTAACAGGTTATTATAAAAGGTTATTACTATATTATTATAAAAGAGTACATCATAAAAAATAATGATACAAAGAAATGCATAAGGACACATTTATAATACAGCAATGCATTTACTGACACCTAAATCTTCATCCTCTGCTAGCAAGATGATTTACATGTCATTTACACCGCATTCTTATTGTATTAGTATAGGATACTGAAACAGCAGAAATTGCGCATTATAAATTCTGATAACAAAAATGAAATTTTTTTTAGTTTACGTGTATTTCTTAGCATTAACTGATAAAATACAATGGTAGCCATATACAATTTATGTATTCATGAGGTATTTTCTTACCAGCTTGAATTAGCTCAAGAGATTTTAAAATCTCAAGAAAAATTTCCAATAAATTTACTAAAGAAGGTCCACACACACACATAGAGAGAGAGAGAGAACTAACATCGCAAAGACAAGGGTTAAAGTTTTCCTCCATAAACATTACTGTAATTTAGGCTAGCACCCTAATTACTTTTATGATTATTTGAAATTTATTAATTATGAATTTTTATTTCTGGTCTTTGTGAAATATTAGTTTTAAATTTCTTACTTTATGCCTTTATATATATATAAATACTGCGTTTTGCATTTGAAAACAGCAATATTCAAAAATAAATTGTATATGGTTAAAATAACATTTCATTATTATACATGACATTTCAGATATAAAAATTATGCATTATAAATTATTTAACATAAATGCATATCAAATATTTAAAGGAGACACAGAGTATACTTCAAGGATAAATGAATTAACAAAATGTAGTTAGATAATATAATAAACCATACTTGTTTGAAGAGTAGAGAATGTAAGCTTGATCTGCAAGGAAACAAACAAAGTGGAAAGCTCACAGCAACTGTCAAAATAAATCCAAGCTTTATAAATTCGGTCACAACAGAAGGTGTTAACAAAACCAAAATATTTCCCATAATTGCTTTATCATGAAATGCAATGTAGCCAAAAGTTCCAACCTAAAAATATAATTAAAAAAAAAGCATGCTTTATTAGTCCATCAAAGACTGCTGTAGTAATATGAGCATATACAGAACTGACTTAGATTCAGTGGTGTTATCAAGAACTCTTGGGCCCCAATGCAAACATTTTCCTGACCCCCCAATAAATTTACTGTGCTTAATATATATATATGTGTGTGTGTGTGTGTGTGTGTGTGTAGGCTGCATGATGATAAAATTTGGTTTGGCAGTCGGGAACCTTTGAAGAATCACAAAAATCACTTGATATTTCAAATACAGTCAAAAGTCTTTAATCCGGACTCGTCGGGACTTCGGTGATTTCGGATTATTGGTTTTTCCAGATTATAGATCATTAGTTTAAATCTGGTAAGATGGCATACAGAAATTATAAAATTAAACATATGAAAGTGTAATTTATGAAATAAAGAGCAATTATGATCTAAAGTGTATCAAAATTTACGAAAAAAAGCTTAATATTGATTTGTTTACTTTAGTAAACATTTCTTTCAACACGCACATGCGTAAAGCATACATTGCGCATAGTCGAAATTAGAAAAATTGCAACCAGAAAACTATTTGATGTGTATTCGTGATATTTACAATGATGAGGAATTTGATTTAAATCATATCAAAGACGGAGTACATCGAGATGAAATACTACATTTAGTAAGGAATTATAAGCTGAATAAAACAAAAACATGTGCCCTGAAGAAGGATAGTCCTGACAGATCAACTTCCAGTTCATTGCGTGCCGCAACGTTTTATAATTTTGATTTGCACTTTTTTTTTTTATCTTACGTATCCCCCCTTCAAAGAGAAAAAGGTTTGGCGACAGAAAAGCCTTTTTAGAAAAAAAAAAGCATTAAAATACTAGTGAAACAAAGGAAATACAATTTAAAAAAAATAATCATAAAATTTTGATATAAATGTTTTAAAATAACAAAATCTTGAAGACATAATTTTTTACAAGAGAAATCCTTGGCTTGGAAATCTACTGTAAAAATTCTTGTTGTCAAAATAAAACCAAAATTTTAATGTAAACAAACTTTATAATTTTACCTGCTTAAGGAAGGTTTTTTTTTAAACTATTCAAATATAAAAATTGAAATACATCTATAAATTATGTTACAAAATTACAAGAAATTTCAAAATAATGTAATTAATTTATCATTCGAAACATTATTTGAAATATTTTGTTTAAATTATGCTTTTTACTATTATTAGATATTTATAGTTTACTTATTCTTTACAAAACCTGAAGACCCCACAGCTTTCTCTAAATAATACTAACATATCCATCATATTGGCATACCCAATTGAGTGAACTGGTGTATTTATTGCCAATGCCAATGATTAAAAATTATAGAGTGCCTATGGTTCAAAACCATGTACCTCCTCATCAGAATTACATAAAAGCGAGCAGAAATAGAAAATTGCATAAGTAGTAAACTTGATGCTCACTAGAGGGAGCCATATGGCTCGAGAAAGGTTAGGGATAGCGAGAATGTATAAAACTTAAGAATACATAATTTTTTTGAACGTTTTAAATTTTTAATCATTTTTTTGAATTTTTAATTTTTATAATTTTTTTTTTTTTAAATATTTTTTTTATATACACGATACAACACAAAAGCATAAAGTGGAGAGGAAAGATTTTACGATTAATAGGCTTGCAATGCTGAGTGAAATTAGATCACTGCATATCGGAGGAGAATAACAAAGAGAGAAAAAAAAAAAAGGAGGATTTCTGATAAAAGGCAAGTTTTTTTATTACTGAGGTTTTCTTACATTTTTCTTAAAATTTATTGACTGACTGCTCTTATATGGAAATTTTTGTATGCCACCATTTCGAAAATGGCTGTTGCTTTTCGTGCATCAGCTTGGTGAAAAATTAATCACCAGTGCTCTCCAAAGTTCTCAATAAGTTCTCAACTTTTCATTAGGGATATGGATAATAAGAAGGTAATGAAAATTCAAAAATATGCTGTTATAAGAAGCATATTTTTAAAGCATCTCTTTTTTCTTTTCTTTTTTTTTTTTTTTTTCCAAAAAAGCTGGATATTAGCAAGAAATTCAACATTAATAAAAGTCATAAAATTAAATTTTCTTTTTCTGATGGAGTTAAGTGGCATTGCAACGTTTCTGCCTGCTGCAACAAGAACAGTATTCGTAAAGACATGTGGTTCAAGATGTCCAGATAAAGTTTTCTAACATCTTTAAGATTTATTTATGCTTGGAGTGAAGAAATGACATCAACCAAATGGTGTGAAAACAATTGGAGATGAATCATTTGATGATTGTAGATTCGAGCAACTACTTGTGAGAAGGTTGTGTAGAAATATTATCAAAACACAAGCAGAAAAAAATTGGCGGTTCTGAAATGATTGTTGAAATTGATGAAAGCTTGTTTACCATATAACAGAGCAATGCTGATCAAATTCTTCCGCAACAGTGGATATTAATGGTGGTATTTGCCTCAAAACCGATGAATGCTTCCTAAGTTCCAAAATGTTCTCTACCAGTACCCTTAGACATGATAAAACAATACTGAAAAGGGAGCTATTATTTATTCTGATTCCTGGAAGGGTTACTGCACCACTAAAATTAAAGAAGCTGCTCTACAGCATTTCAAAGGTATAATTTTGTTGACCCCCGAACTGGTGTAAATACACAAAAAATTAAACAACTTTGAGACAGTATAAAATTAAGAAAAAAAAAAAAAAAAAAAATCAGGGCACTTTCCATTAACACGTGGAGTCTTACCTGACCCAATTTATATGGAGGAGTATAGGATCCATTTGAGGAAATTCTCAAATACATTTCCATATTTCGGAAGAGTCGAACAATCAAATAAATATAAAAATTTCTTCTTTAAATATTCATGACACTTTTTTTTTCTTTTTGTATACTGATGAATATTTTCAGTTTTGTTTTGGGTAATGGCGATTTTGTTCTGGTCACTTGTGTAAGTAATCGTAAAATGTCTTAAAAAAAAAAAAAAAAAAAAAAAAAAAAAAAAAAAAAAAAAAAAAAAAAAAAAAAAGTTGGCAGGATTTTGCACTTGGCTGAGAGAAAAGTACCAAAAACTTTTTTCTACGATAAAATTTTGTACATAAAATTATTCAAAATACTAATGAAATATGTTATACAAGTTCTAATCTCTGCTATTAAATAATGAAGAATCTCTATGTATGTATGTATGTTTCTCACACTGTGGAAAAATGATGATCTAGAGACACCAAATTTTGAACACACATTGTCCTCCACTTGAACACCTCAAAGCCTGAATTTTGAATTTCAAATCTTTTTTTTTTTTTTTTTTTTATCATATTTAATAAAAATTTAATGAACTTTTCATTAAAAATGCTGTGATTTGAAAATTTTGTGCTCTGTCTGCATAGTGTAAGATATTTACGTTTCAAATTTAATCAAGAAGCTCAGTGATATTAAAGGAGCATGCTGCACTCATGGACCTTATGAGAGTGGGTGGGATACTAACTCAGTGTGGGACGTGCGTCACCAACATGTCGGCAAGAAAGAGTAGGGACGATCTGGTTTACTTTAACACTGAAACCTATGGTGTTTGTATCACATAACTCTTTTTAATTATTAAATGTTAATACGTTGTATAGTGATGAGATTATGAAAGCCACAGTTTTTTCCAAATAGGATTTAATATATCTCATTAAAGCACTTTTTATTGCATTTCGCCTATTTTTTTCACATGTAATTCTTGTACAAACTTCTTTATTTTGGTAAAACTCTAAGCACAAAATTTATGAACTTAATTTTGCATACAAATAATGTAAAATTAAATAAGATTGGTAGTATGTGATGCTTTGAAATAAATAAAGTAAAATTAAACAAGATCTGATAATTTTTAAAAAAATTTAATGACCATTTTTAGGAAGTGATTTTCAAAACTATAATAACATTACAAAACAATCATCTATTTGATTATCTCATCATTAACTTAATAATATAAAAGTGGAATATTTATTTTAGTAATTTATAAAATTCGGAGCATAAAATTTTCTGAGTGTAATGAAGGGGGGAAAAAAGTAAAATAAAATTTAGAAGCACTCAGATTTTATATTACGCCCAAAAGGAACCTTTTTTTAATGTTTTGTGTGTTACCTATATTTACTGAATATTATGTTCTTTGCCCGTAAACCACATACATTTTAAAACAGCATATTTTTAGAATTTCCGCACTGGAGATAAAACTGTTATTTTCCGTACAGTGCTCTCTCTGAATTTGCTGAGTTTGTTAATCGAAAATTCGTTAAAACAAACAAATTCGAAATTCAGCCGCCCAGATGCCCATGTTCGGGTGGAGGATTACATTATTCAAAATTTGATGGCTTTAGATACTGTCATTTTTGTCACAATGTGAGAAACATGCATACATTCATGCAAGATTCTTCATTATTTAATTTCTTTAAATATAATACAGGGCGATAATATTTGGTAACAACAATTTGCAAGGAGACACAGATATTTATAGTAAAACAGCGCAAAATGCCGCTTCGAAACTAACAGTCTTTCTAGGCTACCGCCCCTTTGGGCTAATAAATTAAATTAACAGTAAAAAAAATCTTATGCAGAACTAAAAATAAATTTAAAAAATAATCACTATAAAATACAAGCAAAATTAATTATTACCGTTAAATACGATTTTAATATTAGAATTAAATGTATAAAAATTATTAAGGAGTCTGTTTATCACAATGATGTATTATGAAATATAAAAAGATGTGCTATAATATTCATCTATAATTTTAAAAAAGCAGCACAACTTAGAATTTTAAACAAAACTTTCAAAAATTCATTTTTAAATATTTTAGTATTTTTTACTTATTTACACCAATAAAAAGCATACAAATTGCAAGAGAAAATTGCTTGTTTGAAATTTTCTATTAGTTCAGATTTAAAATATTATTTTCTAAAAGTAGTAGTAGTTACAAATTTCCTTACAACATAGGAAAAGCTAAAAAAATATCCAGCCATGAAAGCATGCAATAGCTTTATAATTATTTGGAACGTTAATTATGCTTGATAAATATGCTAAATTTTTAAAAATCAATCTCAATTTCAAAAATAAAAATATGGAGAAATTCTAATTTGTGAAATGAGGCGCTACAACCAGCTTTTTCTTGACAATTATACATGCTGCAATAGGCAGCCACTGTTAAAATTCTGCAAGTCGTCCCTACTCCTTCACATGTGATCAAGGTGATAGCCAGGAATGCCCTCAGACGAGGGAGAAAACCCATTTGGGTTAGTCTATTTCTTATAAGGTCCATGGCAGCCCTCAACAAAAGCAAATACATTTCTTTCAAATTTAATTGAACTGTCTAAAAATAGTAGCCCATTGAGCCACCTCATTTTGAACACATGGTCTTCCACCCAAATATGTGCACCTCAAAGCCTGAATGTTGAATTTGATATCTATTTATTTCATATTTTGTACAAATTTAAGGAACTTTTGATTAAAAATTCAGCAGTATAAAAGCTTTGTGTTGCCACTCTGCACAGCATAAGATATTTATGTTCCAAATTTAATCAAAAAAACTCAGTGATATAAAAGATGTGTTATGCTAATTAACAAAAAACAATATATTTATCTTTTTAATTTAACAGTCAAACTCGGTGATTTAAAAAAATGTGCTGTTATAGCGTGAATTACTGCAATACACGGCGGCGTGTTGTTCACCAAAGCATATGCTATTTAATTTTTCTTTGAAATTTATTCTGTTATTACTTAACAAATTATGTAAAAGTAATAAATATAGATTCCTTTGGATCAGTGGATTTATTATAATCATTATATATATATGCATCTTTTTGTAATAACTATTTTAGGCAGCTGGCTGTGCAAGCAATTTTGTAATAACTATTTTAGGCAGCTGGTTGTGAAAGCAACTAGAAGAATCAATAAAATATAATTTAAAATATTACCATTATGTAAACTATGGAACACAAATGAACGGCTCCACTAACAACAGACTGCATTCTTTTTAAAGAAGGATCATTCAATGTGTCGAAAAATTCAAACAATTGCCTAAATGAAAAAAAAAAAAAAAAATCAATAAAGCAAATGATAATTAACACAGAATATTATTTTATTTCAATTTAATTAATTAAATTTCATAGTTAATAAAAAATAATATATTTACTAAATTCCCCAAACAATTTTTTACATTCACATTCCAACACTTTAAAAAGATAATTTTCCAAATGAATATTCTATTATTAACTTTAAACACAGAGAAAAATACCAATAACATATAACTGCAATATCAGGTAAAATTATGACTTCTTATTATTAAATGTAAATATTATTAATACAAAAAGAGATTTAAATGCAAATTATGAGAATTCTTCAAAAACAATAAAACTTACAAAACTACAAGAAAAATTTTACATTTTTCTATTATAAAATCTTCAGCCCTCCAAAAAATAATACCATTTCACTACCCCCTTATTGTACGAATCACTTGTTACATATATTTCTAAAATCATAAACTCAAAAATCAGAGCCATGACAAAATTTCATACAATTTTTGTATAAAAAAGCAGTAAAATGAAAGTAAATGCTAATAAAATTATTCTACTTTAATAAAGGCAAAGTTGAGTTCTGTTATGATCTGCCTGTTTTGTTATGAGACATATATGATCAAATGATATGTAACAAATTTTGAATAAATTTAATCCAATGTCACTTTATTGTGTAAAGATTTAATATTTTTCCCTTTCCTAAATTATATTCACAATAAAAAAAAAAAAAAAAAAAAAAAAAAAAAAACTGAAATCTTTTCCTTAGAGAGTAATCATGCAAGAATTTACAATGTGCAATGCATAAAATTCTTTTAAAATCTTTGAATTCCATTTCCAAAGCCAGTACTCTATTATTAGAATGTACAAAAGAAATGCTTAAGCAATGGTAAGGCAAAAAAGGTGCTTGTCTTAAAAAAAAAAAAAAAAAAAAAAAAAAAAAAACTATAACCAGCCACAAATCACAATGCATAAAGTTGTTCATTATACATGGGCACAACACATGAACCATGTTATGATTCAGTATATTGTATATAGGAGTACACAACTTATCTTTATTTATCAGGTCATAAAATACATATACATACCTTTGCATATAGAATGTATATGCTCTTTCTGCATTAGAAAGACAACCACAAAAATAGCAATATTTCATGTAGTGTAATATTATGACAACAATGGTAGAGAAAGAAATTACCACAAACTAATAAATCATTTTCAATATGAATACAGACTGAATATAAGAACATTAAAAAAGAACCACAAAAATCCATTAAAAAATTTCTTGTGAAGTGCAAATTCCACAACTTCATTGCACTATATGCAAACCTAGTATTTATACATGTACAGAAACGTGCAGCAGAGTATAAGTGGCACACTAACTTACATCGAAAAAAATATCATCAATGATTAAATTACACAACCTAAATTCAACATATTATTCTCATCATGAATAATGAAACAATTTTTGGGGGAGGGGATTCACTTAATGAACTTTTTTGTGGAAATAACTTAATGAATAAGCTCTGGCTTATAACCTACTTCTGAGTTACTTTTACAATGAAAAATATCAATTTTCAAAGCATCCACAATTCATCATCTTGAAATGCATCCACATAGCTTGTAATTTAGTCAGACCTTATTTTCTTAAAAGTTCTATAACTATAGGATTTAGCAGTTATAACTACAACAATTATTCTTATGCACACAAGGCACATGTGCTATTTTTAATAATTTAGGCTTATCTTTGAAAAATACATACTGTTTGTTATTTGGACCTTTTTCTGGTTCTTATATTGACTTTGTGATCAGATACGAAATTTTCGATGCAATTTAAGAAGTTCCAAACGAAGCAATAGCAAAACCAATCAAAAGCTACAGCATTTCATATGAAATATAATAAAACACAAATATATATATATTATATATTTATATATTAATAAAATGAAAATAGCAGTAATTTATGTAATATTTTTTACATATAAAAGTTTTTGATTTTTTATACTTTATATATACAAAATAAACATAAATAATAAACAAGTAGCTTTTCTTTCAACCTTTAAATGATAAAACTTACAGGGAATACTGAATATTGTTTTATAGTCTTATTGTTTGTTTGTTGTCATGTCTATGAAGTCAGTTAGATGATACCATGAGCAGTGCCTTAGCTATTTCAAGGCAATTTTCTCCATAAAGGTCTTCTAAGTGGCAATCACTAATTTGCTGCATTGCAGCCAAAATGGTGGGGCAGGAGAAGATGTAGTCTGGTCCATGTTTAATTTGAGGGATGTTTTTGCAGACAGTGTAGATCTTGTTTTGTCTGGTAAGACTTTCATCCCTCTGAAATGGCCAGTTCTAAGTCTTGCTAAGGTTTTGGAAGTAGTTCTGTTGGCACTGAGTTAGCATACCTAAAATTTCTGCCTGATTGTTGGATTTCTTAGTTTTGACTTTGAAACAGAATTCATTTCATTAAGTGAGGTGGAATTATGAGATTCTTCATTTAGTTGTCTCGTTTCTTTGGCCCATGCTGTCTGCAGCTTCATTGCCGCTTGTGCTGACATGGGCTAGTCGCCTTGCATTATACAGTGTTCATTTAGTTAATTGATGTGAAGCAGGACACTACCTATTTCATGGGTCTATCTTGAGGTACCCAGCTGAATTTCCCGAAGTCACTGAAGATTATTATATCTTTGGCCTTCTCGGAATTTCTGAGCTTAATATAGATGTTTAGAATCTCTTGTATGGCAAGGAGCTCGAAGGTGTAATTTGAAGCAAATTTTTCTACTCCAATTTTATGTTGTTTTATGCTGCCACCTGGGAAAATAAAGTTTATTCCAGCTCCACCATTACTTAGAGTCTCATACGAAGATCCATCTGTGAAGATGCAAACATCATTCTCTGAGTATGGTCCTGATTCCTTTAGCTTTGATGTTGATAGCTGGCTATTTTTTTTGGGGAGGGGGGGGAAGCATTGCTCAAGGTTTATTTTGCTAATGTGATCTTTGTTATGGCTTCTATAGTTAGATCTATAATCCAAAGTTAGATAATATAATAAATATAAATATTATACATGTACTATATTAATATGCTTTCATAATTTTAAGATATTGATTAAATCCAACTTTTTTAAAAATATCTTCAACTACTATCTTATTATCATTTTATAAAACAAGAAAAATCAGAGTACAAAAATGCAAATTCAGCTTATGTAATACAAGGACACATCTTGCATCAAAACACATTTCAATTAAGAATATATGACAAAAATAAATATATTGTAAAATATACATGTGATATATTTCTTCTCATCCATTCCCATTTTAATCAGCCATACTTTATCCAAATCAGATTTGAATTATCAAGATTTTGTTTCACAAAATAGATTAAATAAATAAAAAATACTGATATTTTTTAATAAATATATAATTAGAAATTTTATACAACATATATAAATGACTTTTAAATCTGATGGAACACTTATGAATATTATTTTATATGTTTTATCAGATTATCTAACATACCACTTTATCATATTATAATTTTATCTGACTTTAACCTTTTTATCAGATTATAAGTTTATCTGACCCCAGTGGTTAAAGTTGTATTTAAAGATTGCTGAATGCTGAGGGTTTGACTCAAGTTCAAAACCAGGAAAGCAGGCTGGATACATGGTTAGTTTAATGGTTTTCTCCATATATAATGTAAATATGTATCAATTTCCTTTGTAAAGTCCTCTACAAAGGCATTCCATAATAGGTAGATAGCCCTCACATATTTTACCATACTCAAATAACCTAACCTGACATGAAAGTCCAATCCCATCCCAGCCAATTAACATACAGTACAATATGCTGAATATAAATAAATTAATAAATGTTGTGAATGATGAACTACACTGGGCTACTATACTTAAAAAATGATATGTTTTAATGAATGCAAATACTCTAAATTTGTTTAATATTTTTTGAACAAACTAATTTAAAGATTTTTCCATGAGAGGATAACGTGAGCTAAGCAATTTTCTGCAAAAAGGTATAACCGCTAAATTGTCTTTGGCCACTATAACACATTTTAAGCACGAAATGACAAAACTAATTTTGTGCAGATTGTTACTAAAGCACAGGAGATGACAAAACCTGTTTTCTACAAATTATTGGTGGATTATTGTTATCAGTAGGTTTTTCGGTGAGAGAGTACTTACAACAGCTCAACTTTTTTTATGGTAAGTTTTTAAAAATGGACCATGATAGAATAGAATGCGATAATGAAGAACAGCGTGCAGATAGTCTGTCGAATTATTCCTGTCAGAATGATCTTACCTATGACAACACAATTATATGATGCCTTAAAGTTTTTCTAACCAAAAGTTTCATGCAGTTCTGATCCAAGCTTGGATTCTTATAATTCTGACTCTGAAGAAGCATGCTCAACAGTAGACAATCCACCATTTTAGGCCACTCAGGAATAAATATAGAAAATGCTTCAAATTGTTTAGCATAGGTAGTGTATGTGCTACACTAAAATATCAAATTTATACCTGAAAGCACCATAGAAAAAGCAAACATGGATCAGTAAAACAGCATCAATGTATTGTTGGCCAGTCATAGTTCTACCTGCAAGCACATATAAGGGCATGTGGTCATTGATCACGATGCCAGTTCATACCATGACACTGCATCTTGGATATCAGTCCCTTTCCTGGACAATAAGCAGCAGTATGGGTATATAGCCCTTCTCCCAGTGTCTGGCTACAGTTTTTTGGGCAATCTGCTGTCCTGTAGTAGTAAGACACTCATTCACCATTATCCAAGTTGTGAACTGCTGTTTCCCCCAATAGGATAATGGTACTTGTTTTCTGCAGGCATCTATCTATCAACACTATATACCACGCATGGCCAAATTGCAGCTCTTCATCACATTATCTGTGGCTTGTGAGCTACTTGCGGCCCTCAGCCCTCTGAAATGCGACTTGTTTTCAAATAGTAGTCTAATTTTTTTAAATATAAA